ATAGATAGATAGATATGAACAGATTGGAATAGTGTTATATACTGTACCTATTAACACTAATGGATATATCCCAATCCTCATAGATGGTATGGTATTTATCAATTCACCCACAGGAATTGAATGTGGCACAAGGCCTTTTTAATGTCCCAATCCTCATAGATACGTTGGACACGTAAGTGAGGGGTAATATGCTGTATAAGTAGTCCACCACTAGCAGTGGTTTACCTACTTCATGCCGTTGATGTGTATTGTATTTTGTTGATGTTATAAAGATTACCATTTCATTTCCAACCTCCGTTTTGGTTATTCCTCATTTCCGAGGCTACATCAAAAACTAAACCAAATATTAAGAAAAAGGAAAATTTCCTCAGAAACAAAGAAAAGTGTTCATCCTCTATGTAATATCAATCTTCCTAGATGATATTCTGTATGATGGACAATATCCCTGGCAAATGAAGAGGAAACAACACGTATATTGTTCTACAAAAAGATGCTGAGAATACCATGGATGGAACACGTGAGTAATGAGGAATTTTACGAAAATGGTTACTGTTATACAGGAATAAAGTGTCGCTGCCGACACTGGAGTTTGAACGCAGATCACCAGAGAGCAAATACCGGCAATCCCATTTTGAATAAATAGATCACCTGATATTAAAGGAAATGTATATATGGGAATTAGCGTAGCGTCTAAGGGATCACTATTCAGTGGTTACTATTCGAGCGAGTATTATCGAGCAAGTACTATTAGTGCGAGTGTTATTCGAAGGCGTGTGACACCAGTATTGTTCAACGGCGTTACTATAGTTGTGTCTTTGATTACAAAGTCTCTACTACAACGAGCATTACTAAAGTCACAACATTCGTTGACATTACAAAAGTGGTAACGAGTCTTTGTTGACATCACAAAAGTTACAAAAAGGTACATGTGCATCGGATCAGAAAGAGATAGCTCAAATTTCTACGACGCATAATGAGGGCTTGGAGAAAGTGACACTCAAAGGACATATTGAAGGCAAGAGGCCCAGTGGGAAACATCGAATAATCTGCCTAAAAACTTGTATAAATAGATAGTAGAGAATGGATTGTAAGGGGACAAAGATTTCTTAGAGATAAAAAAGACAGGACGTTATGGAGAGCCAGTACCTTGAATATTATTTGTGTGGATTGGTGGGGAAGGTGTTTAATATGTAAGGGTATTTTTAAAGTCATTTTTTTATTTATGTTTCCTGAAAACTACGATCTTCAAAAATTTAATTGGAACGTCAAATGTCACCTTTTCTCCTTGAAACCTGTTCTTTTATCGTCCTCTCTCCTCAACAACGGTATCCCAGTTTCTCTCGCACTAAGTAACTTCTTGTGTCATAGTGGCTTTAACGCCTTGTTCGGGTGGGATGATTAAAAAAAGATGATTCCCAATGTATCATATACAAGGCTATTCCAAATAAACGCTGAGCAACTTAAAGTAATGGTGACATTAACCGTTTCCCAATAAGGAAACATTCGACATTCATTGACTAAGTAGTCAGTGCGATAGTTAATTAAAAAGTTTTTCTTAAAGCAAATTTTCAGGGAAAATGGGTTTCTCAAGTCCAGTAGCTGTTATTGCTCTTTTCATTACTGATGGAAGCTTCCTTCGTAAACCTTTATTTGAAGTAGTGTCGAACGTCACTATCTACATTATGTCATATTTTTCAACGAATTACATGTACTATCCATTTTATTTGTTGCTGCTGTTGGTAGTCTTCATGTGATGTAGTTTCTCTTATTTGACACAGTTCCTTGTTTCTGATTCTGTAGCGTCGGTTCATTAGTTTGGAAGAAGGACGTTCTTCGCCAAATTCACAGGCTTCAGTCGCTCAAAGCCATTTTTAACCACGTATGGTTCTACAGAAGGATGCTAAGGATATCGTGGACCGAGCGTGTGAGCAACGATGAGGTCATAGAGAAGTTGCAAACAAGGAGGAGGTTTATACTTAATATCAGGAAGAGGCAGCTAAAGTTTCTGGGACACATAATGAGGAAAGACGGCCTGGAAAATCTAATACTCACGGGTCGAATAAAGGGAAAGAGAGACAAGGGAAAACAACACGTGATATACCCGAAGAAAGTGGATGACAGAACGTGATCTGGTAGAGGAAGGAAAGAGAAGACTTATTGAGAGCTGCAGTGAGGGAAATGCTGTCACAGAGTTGGAATCTCTGGAATCAGATACCTTCTTCCTTGTAAAATGAGGTTAACCTTTTGAGCCCTGATCACCCCTTTACCGCTGGTAGAGAAAAATGACGTAAAGCCCAGCCACCGGTTGAACAGTGGTAGAGAAAAATAACTTAATGCCCAGCCACTGGTTGAACGGCGGGTAAACACTTGTAACTATTATTATATCTACCGTGAAACATTGCATACCAATTATTTGCAAATTTTGACTCAGGAACACAGGCAGAAGAGTTAAAAATTGTTCAGGAATGCAGGGATCAAAGGGTTAAGAAATGCCCATGAACAGAAGTCAATCTGGTGTCTGTTGAACTGTATGACTTTGTATAAGTCTATCATTTGTCCATTCTTTGAATATTGCTGCCATATCATATATAAAATCTAAAGAAAAATTTGCAATGTTATTGACCCTGATCTGGCATCTCAGCTGCAGTCAGTTTACCACAACCATAACATAGCTTCCCTGTGATTTTCTATAAATACTTTAATGGTAATTGTTTGGATGAAATTTCCTCTATGGTAACTAGACTTTATGAATTTAAGCACAGTATTAAATTGGCTGCAAGGTCTGATCCATTTACAGTTGAAATAGCTAGATGAAACCGTATGTTCTATGCTAATAGCTTCTTCTATAGCACTTCTCCTTTATGGAACTCTATTCCAGCTTCTTGCCTTCTAGTCAACTTTGATCTTCAAAAATTGAAATGCAATATCAGTTGTTATCTTCTGTCTTCTTAATTCCTGTTCTTTTGCTTCTCACTCCTTAATAATTTTTTTTTCTCATATTCTCTCTCGGTCAGTACCTCCGTGCTTCTTAGTGGCTTAATTGCCTTTTTTGCGTTAAACTAATACAAAAAGAAGAAAATGCATATTGTGTAAGTTCGCGGTGCCTTATCGTAGAGAATCGATGAAGCAATATAATTTCGTGTGTTGTGATAATAAGCAAAACAATAAAAGAACAAATATCCAGCAATTAATAATAAAAGTATTGTATTTCTTTTACCAGAATGTTTATCCTATAAAAAGCCCAAGAGTCGCTCGAGTTAGAGGGTGTCAGAATAAGAGGCATCGTTTATTTAGATATGCGGGGGAGATAACGGTTAACCCTAGACGTGAACAGGTTAAGATTGCAGTGATCGGGGAAACATTCTGTTGGGAGTTGGTTCTTTCGGAAGAAGCTATTCGAGTTGAACTTATATTTCACCAATGGAAGACAAAGAGAATGTGGTTAGTTCGACACAAGTTGCGTGGCATAGCAGGTGTTAGCCGTGAAAGTTAGAACTGGTGGAAGTAAGGAATATAGCTTGTTTGAACACTTTCCATGGGAAATAGCGATAGAGTAGCGAGAGGCTTGCATCTTTTCTTCTGCGGGGAAAGGGGTTGTAGAATGGAAAATAATTAATCACATTTGATAGCATACTAGACGTCTCCTCCTCCCATTTACATTTAATTTTACAGCAAAAATGACTTTTCAATAGGAAACAAATATTGGAGACAGTGCCGCAGACAAAGTCTTCGTGTGGTCAGACGAGCAGACTTTCATTGTGGTGGCTGCAGTCAACTACCCAATTGATATGGTTTACACCACTTCACCAGTAAACATTCTCGAATGTGTCACAACACATTTCAAGTGACAGAACCAATTGGTGACACGGTTTGAGCTGCTGTCGCTTTTGATGATGTTCATTGAAGAAAGAGTAAATGTGAATTGCCCAGTTTAGCAGCAAATGTTAAAAGCGATGTGATGTACTGACTGTTTGTCACATTTTGAAGTTGCTATCTCTTCTTTCAAGATAGGGTTCCCGTATACACGGCTAATTTGGCGAAGAACTGGTGCAAAGGATATTTCCACGGATTTTTGATAAGTCTATTTGGCTTCATTCAATCCCTGGCATTAATCCTATGGACTTTGAGATATGACCTATATTGCGGATTGAATTTCCACATAAGCTCCGAGGTCTTTGTGGTTGAAGAGAAAAATAAAAATAAGATTTACTGACCAGTCCAGGGAGTGACATCTTGAGTGAACCACGTAGAAAATTCATTTTTAATGGTAATGGTAATGTCAGCTCTGTTGACTGGATTAAGGTCACACCGTGGAGCTCTATAAAAGTCAATGCCTTTTACCACTAGAGTTTTTGGTCTGTTTCCTGGCGAAATTTTTGCCACTTAGCTTTACCAACATCACTCAAGGCTTTGCAAGTTGCTCGATTGCTGAGAGAATCAAGCGGGGAGAGAAAGAGAAGAAAAAAGAAGACTATTACTTAATTTAGCTACATACGCCTTAGTGCAATTTGAGCAAAGAAGTGGTTAAGAAGTCAGACACTTCAGATGAGAAGAGATGAAGAACTATATTGAAAGCAAATGGTCGCCATTTTTAATTCTAAATATATGAAAATATTGCCAATGAAGAAGACAATCGACCTGTAAAACTTTATTAAACAAAACTTAAAACAAAAAAGAACCATCAAGGAACCTTAACTTAAAACATTTTTTTTAATTTTATGATAAAATGAATAATGAGTAAATGTTTATAACGCACCCGGTAGAATTACTGAGACTTTGATGACAACGGAAGAAGAAACAACCCCACCAAAAAACCCCCAAAAACAAAACAAAAAAAAAACACAGAGTTTAAGTTTCCAGAGAAAAAGCAAAAAATAAGAACCATCAAGGAACCTATTCCAACTTAGTAAGACACAAAGGTCTCAGGAATCTAGAAAATTCCAGTAAGAAAACCTACCTACATTAGAGCTTGGGTCCCAAAAGTTGGAGACAAAAAAGACATGAATAAGTCCTACTCAGGATTTTTACCAGTTGTTCGATCGCCGAGAGAGTCAAGCGGTGAGTGAAAGAGAAAAAAACAAAAACAAAAAAAAACTAAGAAGTCAAAACGTCATCATGGTAGATTTAGTAGAAGTAACTGAATACAAATGGTGTAGGTAGAATTTGTAGAATGAAGAATTCTAGAAAGATTTGTTTGCATGGTTCCATGATTAGAATTTCATATTTCTGATTTCTTCCTGGAGTTGAAACCGAATGAAAAAAAAAAGCTGCAGACAAAAAACTATGCCGTTTCAGCCAACGAAAGAACCAAGAATGAATAAACGGAATTGTAAAACGCAAAACGGAGACGCTGAGGAGAAACATTTGACATTTCAAAGCAAACGACAAGGATGGCAATGATAAAAGTAGAGTACCACTTCAAGACTTTACAAAAAGAAAATTAAAAACTAAATAAACGAAAGCGTGGGCTGAGGATCATTAAAACATCTGACAACCATCATAACCCACGGCATACGCATGCGCGTGCACACACGCATACACTTATGTATGCGCGTGTGTGTGTGTGTGTGTTGCATCGACATCCGTTTCCACTTTTATAATGTTTCCGAATTTTTGTAGCATTTCTTTCTTATATTTAAACATTGTGCATTTTTGTAAAAAAATTCTAGGCTATTGTTTCTTTCTCCCTTTTTTCAATTTTATTTCGTCCTTTGTTTCCATGTTTCTTTTTCTTGGTAACAATTTTTGATATCTTTTTATTTTTCAGCTTTTATTTGTTCTTTTGTTTGTATCTATCTTTCTTTTCCTCTCGATTTTTGTCTTTTTTTTCAGATTTCATTACTTCGTTTCTTTCTTTCTTTCTTTCTTTCTTTCTTTCATTACTTCCTTCCTCCCTCTCTTTCTTTCTGCTATTCCTTCCTTCCTTCCTTTCTTCCTTCCTTTCTTTCTTTCTTTCTTTCTTTCTTTCTTTCATTCATTCTTTCTTTCTTTCTTTCTTTCTTAGATCGTTTGTTGTTTGATTTTTTTACTTTATTGTACCTCAACTTTCTCTTTTTTCCTTTCTACCAGAAATTTTTCTTTCTTTCTTTGTTTCTTTGTTTCTTTCTTTCTTAGTTCGTTTGTTGTTTGTTTTCTTTACTTTATTGTACCTCAACTTTCTCTTTTTTCCTTTCTACCGGAATTTTTTCTTTCTTTCTTTTCTTTCTTTCTTTCTTTCTTTCTTTCTTTCTTTCTGAGATCGTTTGTTGTTTGTTTTCTTTACTTTATTGTACCTCAACTTTCTCTTTTTTCCTTTCTACCAGAAATTTTTCTTTCTTTCTTTCTTTCTTTTCTTTCTTTCTTTCTTAGTTCGTTTGTTGTTTGTTTTCTTTACTTTATTGTACCTCAACTTTCTCTTTTTCCCTACCGAAATTTTTTCTTTCTTTTCTTTTCTTTCTTTCTTTCTTTTTTGTTGTTTTTTTTTTACTTTATTGTACTTTTCTCTTTTTCCTTTCTACGAATTTTTTCTTTCTTTTTCTTTCTTTCTTTCTTTTCTTTCTTTCTGAGATCGTTTGTTGTTTGTTTTCTTTTACTTTTTTATTGTACCTCGACTTTCTTTTTTTTTTTTCTACCAGAAATTTTTTCTTTTTTCTTTCTTTTGTTTCTTTTTTTCTTTTCTTTCTTAGTTCGTTTGTTGTTTGTTTTTTTTACTTTTATTGTTTTCCTCAACTTTTTTTTTTTTCCTTTCTACCGAAATTTTTTTTTTACTCTTTTTTCTTTCTTTCTTTCTTTTTTCTTTTTTCTTTCTTTCTTCTGAGATCGTTTGTTGTTTGTTTTTTTACTTTACTTTTATTTTTCCTTTTTTCTGACTTTTTTCTTTTTTTCCTTTCTTCCAGAAATTTTTTCTTTCTTTTCTTTCTTTTTTTTGTTGTTTTTTTTTGTTCGTTTGTTTTTTTTTCCTTTTACCGAATTTTTTTCTTTCTTTTTTCTTTTTTTTCTTTTCTTTCTTTTCTTTTTTTCTGAGATCTTTGTTGTTTGTTTTTTTACTTTATTGTACCTTTTTTTTTCCTTTCTACGAGAAAAAAAATTTTCTTTCTTTCTTCTTTCTGAGATCGTTTGTTGTTTGTTTTTTTTTTATTGTACCTCCTTTCTTTTTTCTTTTTTTTCTTTTTTTCTTTTTTTTTCTTTTTATTTTACTTCAACTTTCTCTTTTTCCTTATCATTTTTCTTTTCCATTTTTGCTTTTTCTCATTTTGGTAACATCACCGTCGCTCCCAGTTTCACACAAACGGTTCACTTCTTTTTTCTTTTGCTCGATTTTTTCTTTTTTTTCTTTCCTTTCCTTTTTCTTTATCATTTTTAAATTTATCTCATCCGCTTTTTCTTCTACTTTCTCTCCCGAAAGAAGCTCAATTTATTTTTCTCTTTTTTTTCTCTTTCTCACATGAAACTAACATTTTCCTTCTTGCCTCGATTCAACGGTTGAGATGAGGACCATTGGCTTCTCAACTTCTGTTACCTCGAACTCTCCGCATCAAAAGTTCCCCTTATAGCAACTTAATTCTAGGGTTACCGACATAAAGTCTCCTTTCCTTCCTGGCATCTCATCTATCAACGCGTGCTTGCACATGGGATATTAGATTCGATGGGGGAAAAGCTCGGGGTGGGGGTGCTTGCTAACTTCTTGTCAGTCGTTTGCATTTCATGAAAAGCAAAGAATCACTCCGGAAGTAGGATAAAGGGCAACTTCCGGCGATAACATCTCCCGGGAGCCGTTTTGATTAAATGCGGTGTTCATATTACAAAGAAGCTGTTACATCACAAACGGGAACCGACATTGCATCTTCTCGTCCCTTGCATTCACGTGTGCCTCCATTTGCAAAAAACAGCGGTTACCCGGAGATAAACACATTATTTATTCACAATACAAGTTATAAAAATTTACGAGTGGAATGTGATGGTCAGCCACCCCCACGCATACAACAAATTGCAACGCATGCATAGAGGGAGAAAGAAATATAGATAGATAGAAAGGAAGAAAGGAAGAGAAAAAAAGAAAGAAAGATAGAAAGAAAGAATTATGTCATATGTTTGACATCAAAATGTCTTATATAAATAATCTCACAAATTTTTGTTGTTCATTCTCCTTCCCCTATTATGCCTCATAGATTTTTTTAACCATGTCACCCCATGTAAAACAGCAAAGGGTTACTGAGTGTGAAAAGAATAAGAAAAAAAAAGAAACATTATTAAGGATTGAGAATAATGAAAACGTAATCAAGAGCACAGTAGATAATGATTGAAATTATATTTGAATTTTTGAAGATCAAAGTTGGCTGGAAAGTATGGAGCCGGAAGAGTGTTCCACAAGTGAGAAGTGCGACAAAGGAAACTGTTTACATAGAGCTTACGGTTACATCTTTTCATCTCAACTGTAAATTGATGAGACTGTCCCACTAATCTAGTACTGCGCTTAAATTCATAAAATCTAAGTACCATTTTAAAGAATTCATCCGAACAATTTCCATGAAATTATTTATAGAAATCCACATGGAAAGTGACAAAAAATAAGGCAGAGGGAAAGTGACAAAAAATAAGGCAGAGGGAAAATGACAAAAAATAAAATCACTAAAGCCGAGACGCCAGGCCAGGACCAATAATATTGCTGATTCATCTTTTGATTTTGTCAAGAATCTCTAAATATACAGCAGGAGTAGCAGACCATATGTGGCAGTAATATTCAAAGCATGGATGATTGGTAGACATATAAATACGCAAGATAGATTCAGTAGATAAAAAAAAATGTCTAGTACGACACAGTAAATCAACTTTCTTAGATGACCTAGCAATGGATTCAATATAATCTTTCTACTTCATGTAAGCTGAAAATGGGGTTTAGTATCAGCTATGCTGATGGGTGGCAGGAAGGAATCTATCTATCTATCTATCTATCTATCTATCTATCTATCTATCTATCTATCTATCTATCTATCTCATTCCGTTATCTATCTATCTATCTATAATATTTCAAACGTTACTTTAGTGGATACCCCTACTTGAGAAGACGTTCCATTTTATTTTAAACAGTATTTATTTCGTCTACCGGCCTGCGTGCTCGAGAAAACTTTTTAATAAAAATGTGTCCTCCGGCAGGATTCGAACCTCCGTCTCCTTTTACAGTAGAAAAAATACTTTTAAAAATAAAACAGAACGCCTATTCAAATAATGGGTATCCACTAAAAGTAACATTTGAAGTAATAATGCATGGGTGCAAAAAGACTTATCACCGCCACCTCAACGCCGCCGACTCAACACCGACGACTCAACAACTCATCTCCATGACAAATCAATTCCAGTACAACTCACCACTAGCTTACTCAGTGCGAGGACAACTCAACGACATGCAAACTAGAATTTTTTTTGTCGACTTTTTAAAAATAAATAAAAGTAATATATTAGGGATCATTTTTTATTACATGACTTTATTTTTAATTTATTGTAAATTGTATGCAATTACCCTCAAATATTTAGATGGAGATTCTTATGAAAAAAAAAAAACAATCTGTTAATTTTTTTTAATTTGCCTTCATATACTTCTTCAATTTAGTGGGGAGAGGGGGTATGACGTCCAATTTCTCAAAAGATGATTCTCGGTTTCTTCGCACCTTTTGCATCCCTGTAATGAATCTCCATATTTTCGGTTGTTCCATTCCCAGCTTTATGGGCAGTCTTCTATCTGCTGCTTTAGCATGGTTATTTGTCTGGCCATAAAAATTAAACAACAGCCAGCCAAATAGGCTGTTATAACTAATCAATCACTAATACAAACAACCAAGCATTCAAAATCAAAGCGATAAGAGATGTGCACACCATGACAGCCAACAGTGGCCTGAAGATATGAATTTGATACAAGTTGTCCTTGCACTGAGTAGGTTGGTGATGAGATGAGTCCTGGAGTTGTCACGGAGATTAGTTGGCCGGTGTTGAGCCGGTGATGTTGAGTCGGTGGTGAGGAAATGTCCAATCCCGATAAAGGATATGCCGGATAAAAAACAGATAAATAAATCTATCTATCTATCTATCTATCTATCTATCTATCTATCTATTCTTATCCGTTTATTTGACAACATATAGATAGATAGATAGATAGATAGATAGATAGATAGATAGATAGATAGATAAGGAATATAGTGTGATAGATAGATAGATAGATAAGGAATAGAATGTGATAGATAGATAGATAGATAGATAGATAGATAAGGAATATAGTGTGATAGATAGATAGATAGATAGATAAGGAAAGATAGAAATGAATGATAGATAGATAGATAGATAGATAGATAGATAGATAGAAATATATAAGGAATATATAGATAGATAGATAGATAGATAGATAGATAGATAAGGAATAGAATGTGATAGATAGATAGATAAGGAATATATTGTGATAGATAGATAGATAGATAGATAGATAGATAGATAGATAGATAAATAGATAAATAGATAAGAAATAGAATGTGATAGATAGATAGATAGATAGATAGATAGATAGATAGATAGATAGATAGGTGTAATTAAATTATGACGTGTTTGATTCATGATGATGATGTTTCATATTTCTAGAGATAAAGATCGGAAATTTCATTATTATAAAAAAAAACAAACGTTGACGGTTTCAAAAACATCCTTTAAACATGAAATTATCAGAACAATTATAAACAATATAAAAAAAAGAAAAAAAAAGGAATCCTTTAACTAATACATGTAACAGGGCGTAACTTACATTAACAACTCAACATCCACTCCGTTATATGTAAAATACTTTTTCATTTCTTTGTAAAATTGATGTTAATACAGTCATCTGCTTAAATTACACGAGGCATAAATACGAAGAAAACGAATGAATCAAAGAATTTTGAAAATTACCTAAACTAATCAAAAAAAGATAGCGGGTCATAAACTGGATTTGGATGTGCGCGCCTTCGTCTGCAAGAAAAGGAAAGACACACCATATAAGGAAAAAAATGGAAGTAGGTGAACTAAAAAGGAATAAAGAAGTCAAGGTTGTTAAATGTAGGACGGAATCAGGGAAGAGGAATTTGAAGGATAAAGATGCAGAATTAACATTCTGAAGAATCATGTAGTGTACACGTTATGAAGCCTATGTAAATAGATGCTTAGATAGATATATGAACAAACATAGATAAATCGATAGATAGACAGATATGAATACAGATATGAACAGGCGAGCAGACTTAGATACGAAGCGATCAGAATTAAAATGCGCACGCGCACAGACACACAAAGAGACGAGAATAGCGAGCTAGATAGATATAAGCATAGATAAGTAGATAGGTAGGTAATAAATATATAGATAGCTAATGAACAGACTTAGATAGATAGATAGATAGATAGATAGATAGATAGATAGATAGGAACAATGGTGAGAAAGTGACTGAAGATGCCAGGTCAGGACCGATAACATTGCAGACCCTTCTTCGGATATCTGTCTATATTTCAATGATGAGGTGTTGAAATGTTTTGCCTTATTTACATTGATCGGACTGTTGCCCTCATTTTTATTGTCACGTTCACGACGTTTCGGCCGTTGTACGCTGCGGCCTTCTTCGGGCGACTGAAATTCAAGGACAACATGACCCAGTGGATAAAAGCGTTAGTTGGATCCAGTAACCCAAACAGTTGTCAGTTCAATATCTGGCTACTGCAGTGGGGTACAAAAACTTGGAGAGTTGAGTTAATGGAAGATAACTGAGACACCCGGAAGAGGCATGGCATGTGGAACTAAAAAACATGACGAAATACAGGGTTCAGTTCGAAATTCCAATCACTTGAAGAAGGCCGGTGCGTACAAAGGCCGAAACGTTGTGAATATGGTAATAAAGATGAGGACCATAGTCCTTCTTTGGATTTTGAAGGAAACGCTAAACCATTTTTCTTAATTTTTTTTTGTTTGTTTTAACTTCGTTAATTTTGGATATTTATCTATTTTAGAACTTTTTAACATGTGTAAAAAATGATATTAATATTTAATTATTTCACTCCGTTCTACTACTACTACTACTACTACTACTACTAATAATAATAATAATAATATCGATGGCACCAGGCATGGCTCTCATGGCTTCTGATCTTAACTGATTGGAGGTCCTAAGAGGTACATGTTTTTTTTGGTGATTTTTTTAAGCGTTTCACCCCAAGCAAGGCGGGAAGCCACTAGCACGCAAGGGGTTACAGAGAGTTGTAGCGAGAGCAAATAGGAGTGATAGAGGAAAGGATGAAGAGAAGGATAGGGGATAGATCAAGGCATCTGGAGAAGTTGATTGACATTACATTTGAATAGTTGGAGATTATAGCTATCAGGGAAACAGGAAAAGGGGTTCCACAGGCGAGAAGTGCGAGACATGAAGCTATTGGAGACGGCTACATT